GGCAAAGGTCCACTATAGAAAAACCCCCCAAAAAAAAAAAAAAAAAAAAAGAAGTTAGTAACAGCTTCTTTCTGCCATCTTGGAGCCTGTGGAGACCTGCTGGGAACAGAATTTATAAAAAGCAGCTATGTCTGGAAGGCTGGTCCAAGGCCATTTTTGCTGGATATAAGCAGGGTCTCAGGAACCAAAGGGAGCACACAGCTCTTTAAGGTGTTTATGCATGAGAAGAAATGGAATTCTATTTAGGCAAGAGGTGTGCCTATGTGTACAAAGCAAAAAACAACACAGTGACTCCTGGTGGCAAACCAAATAAAACCAGAGTAATCTGGGGAAAGGTTACCTGTGCCTGTGGAAACTGTGGCATGGTTCAAGCCAAATTCCGAAGCAACCTTCCTGCTAAGACCATTGGACATAGAATTTGTGTGATGCTGTACCCATCAAGGATTTAAAATAATGAAATGTAAATGAATAAAAATGGATTTGTGTTCAAAAAAAAAAAAGAAGTTAGTAACAAAATGAATCTGGATTTTGCAGGTAATATCTGAAAATACAAGCACAATATGATAAGCTTGAGATAGCGAGTCAAAAGATAAATGGTTGAGATCAGATCAGATGTCTTCAAAGTTGATAAGAGTGTTTTGATTGCTTGGTGAAAACAAAAGCCAGGACAGTTAAGTACTCAGACCAGGAATAGTACAGGAATAAAGGGGAAAAAGTAAGGAAACAGTGAAAATAAACAGCTAGAGGAGAAAAAGGAATATGAATAATTAAACAGTGAGAAAGGCAGATATCCATCTCACAGTTACATCAGCTAATGACAAAAAATTTATATTAATACTGACATAAAGATCGGATGGGGGGCCAGCAGATGGCATAATGATTGTGTCATTGGATTCCCATGTAGTCGACCATAGTTCGAATCCCAGACCCAAAGGCTTAAAATTCATACCAGGTGCATGTGTGTGCATACCCAGAAATCTCAAGAGCAAAATGAAGAAGCAGTTGCACCGTGGCCACCCCCCACCTGGGGGATAATTTCTCACTTTCTGTCTCTGTCTCTCTTTGTCTCTCTGGCTTGCACACACACCCTATACCAAAAATCTCTCTCTAAAAAAAAGATCAGTTAGACTGGGACAGTGGCTCAGCAGTGATGCAGTACGCAAGCATACCAGATCATGGAGGATGATGGATTCAGTTCTTCCTCAACCAATATATGTTGGGTCCATACGCCTGTGATCCTGCCTATGGGGTAGGGGTTATGCTGTGAAACCCTGTTAAGGGCATG